TCTTGCTCCACAAATGAAACTGAGTTAAAGGTGGTTGGGATATACTGAGCGTGTGTAAATGATGACAGTGATCATTTTTGAGGTTGCTTTATTTAAGAGTCATGTGTACTGGCATTTATGTATTTCGTGATTTTAAAATTAGCTTCTCTTTGCTTGATTGACAGGAGCTGAGGACATCAGACTGGTCAATGGTTTAGATGTCTGCTTTGGGACAGTGGAGGTAAAGAACTCTAATAGCCAGTGGGAGACTGTGTGTGATGACTCCTGGGACATCAATAATGCTGCTGTGGTGTGCAGTGAGCTGGGATGTGGAAGAGCAATTATTGCACTTGGCCAAGCTCTTTTTGGGGAAGGGACTGGTAATGTCTCATGGATTAAGTTTAGATGTTTTGGAAACGAGACCTCCTTCAAGAGTTGCAGTTCTCGTAATGCAACCTCAGTATGCAGTCATAGTGAAGACGCTGGAGTCGTGTGTGCAGGTATGAGAGTTTTAGCTTTCCTTTGATCTTTTGATTCATTTGTTATAAATTATTTTTGATTGTATTATTTATTTATTGTGCGCAAGACAGCTGATATACAGTATATACTTTTGATGGACTGTCATTCTGTGTATCTGTGACTTTTTTCCTACTTAAAGTTTTCTGCTGAGACTCCATATTGATTCTGAAATCCTATTATATATACAATGGAGATACAAAAACAGAATAAAATACAATATGATTTATAAACCTTTTAAAATGTTTGTTTCATAAATAGGGTACAATTGACGAATCATTTTATGTTTTCATTTTAAGGAGTTTCAGTTATCAGGCTATCGCATGCTAGAACAATGACAGCATTAAACAACCAAGGCACTTAAAAAAATATTTATTGAGAGAGAAAGAGAGAGAACAGCAATAATCGTTATATGAAGAAAGAGTAAAATGTCCGAAGGTTACAGCAGTCAAAATTAGGAAGTGTCCTTAAGGGACTTTATTCAGGGTCATTGTAATGATGAAATATTCTATAGCTTTGGAACTACCAATTTCTCTTGCAGTGGTTGAAAGCTTCTTGATCCATTTGGTCTTCGTTTGGATTGCTTCCAGGTTGTTTTAGTCACTTTAGAACAGCTCATTATCTTGCAAAGTCAGTAAAAAATGGAATGTTAAGCTACACGCTCAAAAGGGTTTGTCTAATAATTAAAAAACTACTGACTAGAAAGTATCCAATATATTTTTACTTAATATTTTTAGTTTCCTCATTTTTAAGCTTTCTACTTTTCTCAACTTACGTCAATCAAATTGACTAAAATATTATGTTTATGTAACTTAAAAAATAGCTGAGACCTGATTAACTTGATAATAAAGTTAAAGCAACAACAAAATATTTGTTGTGTTGCCATTTTGTCATTATATTTTTTACAGTGCATATACGTAAATATTTTGACTCATATCAGCATTTCGTCTAGAAGGATTCAGCATTTTGGGGGGCTGAAACAGGTCCCAGAGTGAATGAATCTTAAAACGATTGTGTCATCACCCCATTTGTCAACCCTAGTTAGACAAAGTTATGCTTAATTAATTTTTCCTACAATAAAACCTCTGTCTTTGTGTAAAGTGAAGTTTATTTATAAACTAATTTCAAGAGGAGCATGTGTTTATGATTGTCCACAGCTAGTCCCTCATTAGCTCAAACATCATTCAGCAATGAGACGATTTCTAACTCACTAATAACCAGAGTTTCTTACCTCAGTATCTTTGTCTGGAAAAATAGCCTCTCCCACCCCTACTCCTTCCTCATTTTTCTAGATTGGGAGACACAGCGGCCCAGTAATTAGCAAACACAGCAAGACACAGCAAGAACGTCACTGGTTTAGCATCCTTACTGGACCAATCCAGATTTCTGTTCAGAGTGTGCATGTTCTCTCCTTGCTCGCTTGGGTTTCCCCCAGTTCCCCAGTTTCCTTTCACAGTCCAAAAACAGGCGATATTTGTCATTTGACTATACCAAATTGGCACTATAGATTAGCTGCAGTACAGATATCCCTATAATCTGTCATTTGCCATTAACAAGTCAGGGAAGTTCATCGAGATCTATCGACTCCCCTCTAACTCCCCTCTCACCCTGCTAATGGGAGAGAGCCCAGGGCTCGGGGATCTTAGATCAGGGTTCTCTCCTGAGACAGCATGCCAAACAAGCTTTTTTTATCAATCATCAGCTAAGTGTGAACTCCTAATTATAACCATAGTTATACAACAGTAATTTTTGGAGAAGAAATTGCCCATTTTACTTATCTTTATTTCTCAATGTGTGCCAATAGGGGAGACCAGAGATAGCTGTAACACGGGTCAGTTGTAACACTTCAAATCTCCATAAGGAACTAGTTACAAATCAGTTGATTCACTTTACACATGCTCACATTAGTCCTCATGCCACATATGAAAAAGGTCTGTGGCAAATACAGCAGATGTTAACAGGGAAAAACTACATTTGAGCTTAAAAAAGTAATATATTTTAATCAAATAATTTTTTATAAAGCAATTCCTGATTTGTAGTTAAACCAATCAAAGTTATATGATGTCAATTGTGTGTCTGTATATATTTTTGATGTATGTTGTTGGTGATAATGTTTTAGCTGTTGGCTGCAAGGTGAGCAAATTCATGGCAATACTCTGAGTCAATAGTAACAACAAATGTATTGGTTAGTATAAATAAACAGTGAAATGTTTCCACCAATCCCAAGCAAGTTTAAAGTTGTATTTATATTATTAAATTTCAGTATTTATACAGCTCTTGAAAGAGAATCACCTCAAAACCAAAGGTGTTTGTGTTCAGTGTTTGATCTGTCCTCTGTGGGTTCTTGAAACCTTCGAACACTAATAGTGTTCAATTGTTGAAGCTGATGCACATTTACACATTGTTTCCAGCTTGCTTTATAACACAGAGACAAACCTGAATTACACTGACAACTCAGTGTTGAAGAAAAAGCTTTCAAAGACACTGTTAAAACTTTGAATTCTTATTTCATAATGTTACATCTCACCCTGGTGGAATAGTTTACAGTGATATATTGTCTGGATTGTTGTTTTAAATGATTACATCTGCAGATTTACAATAATCTGTAATAAACTGCCAGTACATTTTCTGTTATTTTACAGTCTTAGTTATTTTCTCTCTGTTATTTTGGTCACATTTTACAATAAGGTTGCATTAGTTTGTGTATTTACCAACATGAACTAAGTATGAAAAATACTTGTTCAGCATTTATTAATCATAGTTCAACATTCACTTATGCATTATTTAAATCCAAAGTATTGCTTGTTAACACTAGTTATTGCACTGTGAGTTAACATGAACTAACAATAAACTAAAGAATTTTCATTAACTAACACGAAGAAATACGGTAATAAATGTATTGTTAATTGTTTGTTTATGCCAGTAAATGATCTAGCTGTCATTAACTAATACAACCTTTTTGTAAAGTGTTACCATTATTTCTTATATAATGTAATATTTCAAACTACTAAAATATCATAGGTCACTTTGTTAAACTATAGAGTTCAAAAGTCAAACAGAGCAGAGATTAAGGTCAGATAATGCAATTCAAAATGCAAATAAACAGAAAACACTTGTGAATCACAGTTGCAATTACAGTGCAGAGCCAGCCTATAGGGTAAATTGTAACATTTCACTTCTTCTGTTTGAAACTTGACTGTCAGGGTTCATACGATCATGGACAATCTGGAAAAGTCATAGAATTTTGGCATGGCATTTTCCAGGCCTGGAAAAGTTTTAGAAAATCAGAAAAACCCACAAAGTTTTGTAAAAGTCATGAAACAGATATCTGTATAATATATTAGTTGTCTTTACTTCTTTTCTGTCCTTGGCCAATTACATACTCTCACATTTTTAGCGAGGTGTAAGAATTATCTAAATAAATTTGATATAAATATAAATTTAAACTAAATAGACTATTGTGTGTTTTACGAGATACTGTAATAAATTTAAACATGCATTGTTTTTCTTTTACCACACATATGTGTCAGGGTTCTGCCACTCTGGTCTTGTAAATTCTTGTTTTAGTGGCTGAATCCGGACACTAGTCATGTCTAGTCCTGTTGTGCTCGGCTGGGTCGAGCACTTGTTTCTGTCTCTGTGTGTGTGCGCGCGCCGTCATGGGTGTACGCAGAGTGGGCTTTGCGTACCTCGGACAAGCGCGCTCTTGTACTCGTGTTTGTGTTTTCGTCTGTCTGCAGCGTGGTGTTTCATTCCCAGCGTCTCAGTCTAGTTGGTTTCGGTTTTGGTCGGCGGTGGGATGAAGCATGCACGCTGCGTGTGTGAGCGCACGGTGAGTTTTTATTCATCGTGTGCTCGTGTCTTGCGTCTGTTGTCAAAGCACATAGCTCTGTGTTTACATTGTGGTCACATGCTTTTGTCGTGTGCTTCAGTGTTATGCTTGTGTTTTCATGAACATGCGGTTAATGAGTTCTCTCATTGGCTGCATGTTCTTGTCCTGTTTTATGTGAGCGCATGACTTGTGTTGTCTCTCTGTGTCATACGCTCTCCCGTCTATTGTCTAGTCCCACCCTCCTTGTTAACCCATTATTAGTTAATTATAATATAACATAATTAGTTTGTGTGTTAATTTTCTACGGTTTATAAACCCCTCACGTTTGCTGTCCTGTGCCAGTTCGTCATCACATGTCGTTGTTTGAAGTCTTGTCCTGTCGTGTTTTCAGTCCTCATCCTTGCCAGCCTGCCCAGTCCTGTTTGTATGTGTATGTATTTGTTTTGGTAATGTTTTCACCCTCGGGGTAGTTTATTTTGCATTTTATTTTATGTTTATTATTTAATAAATTCCCCATTTTCCTGCATTTGAGTCCTCGCTCCTTTTTCCCCATTTCCCCTCCACCAACCCTGACAATATGTAGACATTTGAAACTTTCGGCCATGAAAATGTACTTAAAAGTCTTGGAAAAATCATGGAAAAGTTATGAAACTTCAGTAGGTAAAATGTGTATAAACCCTGAACTGTGCATTTTCTGTTTTTGCTGTAAAGATCTATTCCATTTATTAACAGGTACTGTATGTGTAACTAGCGTCAGTCAAAATTTGAACACACTGGTTTAAAAGATCTCAAAGATATGGAGAGAAATATAAATTACTATCTCTGGTCTCCCCTAAAGGTGGCAGCTCCCTTTCATTATGAATAGATAGCTTTTTTATTTTGTATCTACATTAGTCATGCAAACAAAGTTGCATCTTCAAATATACAACTGTGTTTATATGTGTAAAAAAACAACAACATGTAGTATAAAAACTAATCTAGACTGTGTTGTTTATCAGTAGTTTCAATGCAGGATGGACCGCTGTTAATGTTTTTAAATCTCTTCCAGCATCTTCAGTTGTATACATTGCAGCTGCTGTAATCATCGTGCTGTTCATATCATCATCACTGCTAATTGTTTTGCTCGTAAAGAAGAGAAAAAAAATGAAGACAATCCAGATATGTTCCTCTTCAATTGGTAAGAAGAATTGTAATGTCCTTGCATGTCTTTAAATACCTATATTTGGTGCATGTAAACATCATTGCGTTTTCAGTAACCCCCCTTTTCGTTCTGTATTTTGTATCCCAAGATGCAGTTAACATGCCAGCTGTGCTCCATAATGAGCGGAATGAAGAGACCATTGATGATGACTATGAAGTTGTAGATATGGATCCTGGAGTGCGTGAAGACTCTGACTCTGAACAGGACTATGTGAACATAGACCAGGGTGACTCTGACCCGGACTACGTCAATGTGGAAACAGACGAATCAGAACAGGATTACGTCAATATGGAAACGGATGATTCAGAACAAGACTACATCAATGCAGCCATTACAGAAAACATTATCTATGATAGACAATTACAATGAAGGCCTATGGAAGACACATGATGAAATACATTACAGATTTTTATTCTTTCAACAGTAAAGAACGGTCTACTTATTCACACTTCTGAAGCTAACAGTGAGAAAACGATTTCATTATCACACAGAAGTGCTTCAGACTTTGGAGAGAAGGAGCTGAAAGTTTCCAGATAAGAACCAGGCACAGTTAGTGGTGATTGAATTAATTATATATTATAGGCAATGTCCCAGTATCAATAATTAATTGTATGTGAAGAAAACAAGGGCTCATTGGACACAGCACTAATAGTAAATTCAATAAAAGTTTTTTTTTTATACAAACTTGTGAACATCAGTCTCCTTCAGTGAAAATGGTGGCTTTAGCTATTATTTTTAATTCTTTGCTTATTGTTTTTATTATGAACGTGCAAACAAAAACAAAAAAGGACAAAGACAGGGATACCAGTGGGCAGAATGATAGCAGCAAGAGTAATACAAATTAATTAGTTAATTACTTTTAATTAATACAAACAGAATACAAAATTGTAATAAATGAATAAAGTAAAATCTGCTGTGACTGAGTAAAACTCTTGTTATGAAAATACATCAGGTGGTCAGAGAGTCAGAGGTTCATTAGAGGCATCTATATCTTTTTAAAAGACATTCCCTTTGTTTTTTAAATAGTATGTATATTGTTCCAAGAGCATTGTTTCATTTAAGAGTTGTATGAACAGTTCGAATGTAGGAGGCCTTTGTTAGTTCAAGTTAAGCAAAATGCATGGCTCTAGCCATTTTAAATAGCTTCTTACAATGTGATCTTCAAAGGAGAAATCAACAAGGAACCTCAGAGAGAGAGAGAGAGAGAAGTAGAGCTGTCAGTTTACAGTATGACACAAATGCCCACAACCCCTCTGTGGCATGTCTTTATGTCTCAGTTGTTGGGTGAGAACAGACCAGCTAAAAGCTGCTGTTGCTGCCTCTCTGTTATCGCCATCCAGGGAACTTAAATAAATGATTTCTAATTAGTCAGTTCTAATTTTAAGTTTGCTCTGAATATACTGTCACTTTAAAAATTCAAATGCAAAACGCACTCTCCAACACAAGGAAATGTTGACAGCATGTTTCACAGTCTCTGAGCAAACAAAAAAAATACACTTCCTCTAATCTGTTTCACAGTTTTATCAGTGTGTTCACTTCTTGTTCTCAGAACAAAGATATTCTCTGAATCAGCTCATTTAAAATTTCCTCTGACGCTGCATTCAGAAATCACATGCTTGATAATAGATACTTCATTTTTATGACTGTAAAATGCATGTTCAAAATAAACTCAGCAAAAGGCAAAGGGCTGTCCTATGATGTCATTTCACTGACATCAAGTCGTCTCCTGTGGCTTAAAGACGCTTTGATGCACTGTCAAAGTATTAATGTGTCTGTGCCTTGTTTTAAATAGACGAAGTGGCAAATATGCATTGAGAGTAGCTCAGTGCAAAGTGCTTATGAGTTTGCTCCCTACACTAATGCTGAGAAGAAGAAACTGTTTAATGAAGTCAGTATTTGTGTTTTATGTGTGCACAAAAGTATGGCTGTAGCTTTATTTAATTCCAATTGAACCACTCAAGTAATTTTCATTGATTTTTTTTAAATATTTTACTGATGCTCTATATAGAGGAAAAGGAATTTCATCTTAAAATTTCACTTAAGTTTGCATTTTGAAAATAAACGATGGTCTCAGGGATACTGAAAACATAATTTTAGGGTGAGCCAAGACAGAAATGCCCAAACTAGGGCCCACAGACCAAAGTTGGCCCTTGGTAACCTTTGATTTGGCCCGCCATCCCAACTGAGATGAGAGGAAGAAGGATGGGGATGGTTTAGAGATTGTCATTTCAAATCTAATGAAACCTTTGTTTGTTTAATTGTTAAAAACTAAATTAAATGTTTCAATTAAATATTGTTTTCCAAGTGATTGGTTGCAGCTGAAAGGGCATCTGCTGTGTAGCGGCTACGTGGAGTAACAGCTGAGAGGCTAAACCAGAGACATGATTTGTGACGTAAACATCAAATGTAAACAAGGCAAGAAGTCGTTCCAATGTTTTCACTCGTTTATTTTCCAATATAAAACATACCTTGATATTTTGACAGTGTAGAATTTGATTTGGGCTTAAGTTTGAGCTTAAGTTTGGTTTTGTTTGGTCAACAAAGAGTACTGCGTCCCCGTTCACCCCCTCTCTCTCTCCTTCCTAAGTTGTGAATGAACAGGTGCCTCCTATAAGGGCACTACGTAACCCCGGTGACCCTCCACCACAATCACGTGACACAGGTTAACCATTTCATGTCTACTACACGCTGCATTAAACATATGCTGGATAAGTTAGTAGTTCGTTCCGTTGTGGAGACCCCTGATAAATAAAGGGACTAAGCCGAAAAAAAAAATAAATGAATTAATTAAATATTGTACATTTATTTAGCTTCCATTTTCATACTGTCACCTGATGGATAGAGGACAATGCAGAGTCTTTGATGAGCAAATAAAGGCAAAGGCAGAATCTACTTGACTATTGTATTCAGCATTGAACTCCACTGTTCACTCTTATGTTTTTATTGCAATAAGTGTTATATTGCACTAGTTAGTACAATTTAAAGTAATGTTTGTTTGTTTTTATTGATTTTTAAATATTCTGAAATATGTTTTAAAAATTGCTCATGGCAACTTTAATGTAATATAGTTTGGTATTTTTACCTTTGGCCCACGGCTCTCGATGATATTTGGTTTTTGGCCCTTAATGCGAAGAAGTTTGGGCACCTCTGCTTTAAGGTATGAGTAGAGTGCACAGTATAAAGTAACATCTATACACTCTCAGAAAAAATGGTTCAATGTTTTACCAAAGAAGGTACAAATCCTTGTCACTGGGGCAGTACCTTTTTATAGAACAGAATTGTACCTTAAGACAAAGAAGCAAATTTGTACTATTGCAGTTTGTACCTTTAAGAACATGATCTATACCATGGGAAACCAAAATGTACCTTCATCAAAGATACAAATGTTTAACCAGTTTTATTATTATTATTATTATTATAGAACTTAATAATTATTGTTTATGACTTTCTTTAAACATATGCTTTTAAATGATGATTCATGTTTTAATAATAATAATAATAATAATTCGTTACATTTATATAGCGCTTTTCTGGGCACTCAAATCGCTTTACACAATGGGGGGGGATCTCTTCATCCACCACCAGTGTGCAGCATCCACCTGGATGACGCGACGGCAGCCATTTTGCACCAGACCGCACACCACACACCAGCTGATTGGTGAAGAGGAGACAGAGTGATGATATGCCAATCATGATATGGGGAGGGTTAGGAGGCCATGATGGACAGAGGCCAGTGGGCAGATTTGGCCAGGATGCCAGGGTTAAACCCCTACTCTTTTTCGAAGGACATCCTGGGATTTTTAACGACCACAGAGAGTCGGGACCTCGGTTTAACGTCTCATCCGAAAGACGGCGCTCACTGAGCAGTATAGCGTCCCCGTCACTATACTGGGGCATTAGGACCCACACAGACCGCAGGTTGGGCGCCCCCTGCTGGCCTCACTAACACCACTTCCGGCAGCAACCTAGCTTTCCCAAGTGGTCTCCCATCCAGGTACTGACCGGGCGCAGCCCTGCTTAGCTTCAGTGGGCGACCATGTGAGAGTTGCAGAGAGCTAGCTGCCGGCAATATATGGAAATTATTCTTAAATCACTTTGCCTTTCCAGTAATATTTATTTTCATAGATATTGTAACAAAGCAGGAGTTGTCCAACACTTATGTACATTAAAGGTACAGGAGCTGTCACTGGGGCAGTACCTTTTTAAAAGATACATATTAGTACCCAAATGTACCTAAAAAGTACCTCTGAAGTACCATTATGGACCCTTCAGGTACAAATATGTACCGTTTAAAAAGGTACCGCCCCAGTGACAGCTCCTGTACCTTTATTTCTGAGAGTGTACCTTTTTATGAGAACAATAATGTAACTTAATTTAAATTGTACCATAAAAGGTAGTACAGAACAGTATCTGAAGAGGTCTTTTCTGCATCATGTAAGGTACAACTTTTACAAAGGTACAAAACTGGCTCTCAAGGAACATTATTTGTACCAACGTGTACCTTTATATCTGAGAGTGTACATAATTTGATAACAAATTTTTTTATGAACTTGGGACCAAGCTGTGCATTGATGGATTTGCTCATCAGTGTTTGGACTTTCAGCATTGATTATTAAACCACACTGAACTGTACTAAACTGAATTTCAACTCTAAAAACTGACACAGCTACTAGAACGTCTATGTTAAGCTGCTTTGACAATCTACATAGTAAAAGTGCTATAGAAGTAATTAATAAAGATGAATAAAAGTGCTATCTATATATATATATATATATATATATATATATATATATATATATATATATATATATATATATATATATTCTGTTGCTTGAAACATTCCTTTATTGCATCAAAAAAGTGAACATCAAAAGTTACATTTTATATTTAGCACCAAGTGAATGTTAACTTTGATCAAAGGAATATTATAAAAAGTGATTTTATATGGACTACTTAATAGATAAGAGCAGTATTACCGTTACCTTATTTGGTAGAACAAGATATGAGTAAACCCTTTGCACACAGAAATATCAGTTATTTGATTTATTCACTTACACATTAAACAGTGTAAACTATTAAGGGTGCAATCTTGTGAAAAACAGACTGATTTTGCAACTTATTAAGCTTATACAACTTCAACATTCTTTGTTAAAAAGAAAAGGGATGTTGAATTTTGTTGACTAAACACTTTTTAGAAAACATGGTTATAAAGGAAGTGACTGATTCGATTGAGTGGTCCAGTTTTTATCTTTTTGTCTTGAAAGCAGCAGTAGTGTAACATAAACTTTAAATGCATATTCCTGCATTTCTACACAACACAAGGATCACAATGGCAAGATTTTCTCTTCTCACTTGGATATTGGGTAAATTCAATTTTCGATCTTTGCACTTTCCATTTTTAATTACATTTGAAGGACTTTTATGATGAAACATTTACGTATGTCACAGTTTTAATATTACAACATTTCATCTTTAAAATAGTTTGGTTTAAAAACTGTTGGTGTTTCTTTATGAAATGTTTAAATAAAATGTATGTTTATTCGTCATATCAGGTTTTTGGAGAATTATCACAACTTGTTCTTTCATAAAATGAACTGAAGCTGCTGATTTGTGCCCTGTGTTGTTTTTGTTTGATTGATTCTGAATTAAATTTGACAAACATCCTATTTTAATCCCTTTTCTAACAGTTTATGTGTGATTTGAACTGTTATTAGTTGTTACTGAGTAAAAGTTAGTTGGTAAAGTTAGTTAAAAAAAAGTCCTAAATTAAAAAGTCAATCAGCATAAATCTTTTCAGTGGGTAGGGTTTTATGTTACTTAT